TAAGTCCCCCCTTGTGGTTCTGGGATTTTTGCTCACCGTTCTTGTGATCATTTTGACCCCACGGGGTGAGATGTTGCGTGGAGCCCCAGATCGAGGGAGCTTATCAGTGGTCTTGTATGTCTTCCATTTTCTAATGATTGCTCCCACAGTTGATTTCTTCACACCAAGCTGCTTACCTATTGCAGATTCAGTCTTCCCAGCCTGGTGCAGGTCTACAATTTTGTTTCTGGTGTCCTTTGACAGCTCTTTGATCTTGGCCATAGTGGAGTTTGGAGTGTGACTGTTTGAGGTTGTGGACAGGTGTCTTTTATACTGATAACAAGTTCAAACAGGTGCCATTAATACAGTTAACAAGTGGAGGACAGAGGAGGCTCTTAAATAAGAAGTTACAGGTCTGTGAGAGCCAGAAATCTTGTTTGTTTGTAGGTGATCAAATACTTTGTTTCCACCATAATTTGCAAATAAATTCTTTAAAAATCAGACAATGTGATTTTCTGGATTCTTTTTCTCATTTTGTCTCTCATAGTTGAGGTATACCTAGGATGAAAATTACAGGCCTCTCTCATCTTTTTAAGTGGGAGAACTTGCACAATTGATGGCTGACTAAATACTTTTTTGCCCCACTGTATGTGTGATATTTTTACTTTGTGAAGAAGAAAAAACATGGATATTAGGAATAAAAGTAAAACAAGTCCAGAAACTGTCTGCACAGAAAATATGATTTACCGTATACAACAATATTTCCATAACAGTCCTTCCTCTAAAGGAGGACAGTTATTAATCTTTTAAAAAACGTATTTTGTCTCTTTCAGTAACTCCACTTTGGCATAACATAAAATGAAACCCTGTGGGACTGACACACTGAACACATGTAACTACTTTATATTTCTGGTGTTTCTACGCAACTTTAAAGACTCAATAAGGTCAGACCTCAAATAATTGCTGGGTTTTAAGCTTCTTTTTTTTTACATTTCCTTCTGCACAATATAACTCGGCATGTTACATTGGGTGAGTCAAAACAAGTGTGAGAAGGAATGCTGCTGTATGCCCGGGGCGATGGGCAGGGCAGGAGATGAAATGCTGTAGAAAGTATAAGTCTCACAGATCTGAGCCAGAAGTACGGTATACTTACATTTATTTTCTTAAAGAGCCCAACTGACCATATCCGTCATCTGATACGAGCCACAGTTTTACAAGAAACTAAAAGGTAACGTTTTCTGTGCTAGAATCCAAAACCCAAACAACTCATGGCAGCTGGGAATAATTAACGGAGTTTAACACTGTCAAACGGCATCGTTGACTATATTTTCTAGGACCATAGAGACATTGACTAAAGGCACCATTGACACAATAGGACAAAATGTTCCAAAGTTTGGTTTAACTACATCCTGTTAGTAAAATTACATTTACGGGACTCACCTGGAACACACAGCTTCATAGGCGACATGTTTTCGAGAGGAGCAGATCCTCCAGTCGATTGGCTATGACGAAGAGCTTGAGTCGATTCTGATTGGTCTGTGTCACGCTGAGCGGAAGCAGGACGGCTCAGTCGGCCATTTTTGTTGAGGCAAACATGAGCACATGTCAACGCAAGAGATGCAGCAAAGCAGAACCATCCACACATTAAATATATTACATAAGGACTGTTACCTACTTCTACGGTAACAGTTTACAACATTATTAATACTAATAATGTTATATACATTCATAATACATAGTTTGAATTACATCAAGTACTGTCTTTAATGACAATTGTGAAAGCAATAGCAATATTCTAATTGGATTGGTTTTGTTTATTAATATGGGGCATGCACTGAAGTGTGATTAGGAATTAAACTATTTATTTTAGGGGGGGAAGCATGGCAAAGAACAGTTACAGAATCGATAAGTCTCTGAATTTAGCATAGTACCCTAAAAATAAAAACCTGAAAAGATTTGCATGTAAGTAGGTAGTCTTCCTTTAAAACAAAACCTATTGAGTAATCTTTTTTGAGGGACTTAACCCAACCAACTCTTTAACTATATTATGCATAAACATAGGGGACATTTATGCAAGAAAATTATGTTGGACACAGATTAAACATAATATAATGGTTCACAACATTTATTTATTTTCTCACAATGCCACAGCAAACATATATCAGCAGTGCAGATCATATCAAACTGCCCTTTTAACAACAGCCAGTGTTTCTTTATAGGTTATACTGCTCCATCCGAGCTTCACCTACACGGATCAGAAATAGGAATGATTACAACAGGGTGACTGCAGGGTTAGTCTATGTTTGCTCATATTTGCTGGTCCCGAAATTTGCTTTTTGGTCAATAGTTAAACCATATTATAGCTGAAATCCACTATGTAATACTGACATGTGTGTTTCAGTATTTCACACAGTAAAGACTAATTTAGTGTGCCAAAGCTGGGCGTCATCAAAATAAAGTGCACATCGTGTGTCTGTAATGACGGTAACAGTAATTGACTTGGTAATAAATTAATAACAGAAAAACACATGATTGATCTGTACTCTAGCTCATCAAGAAAGGGGGTCTATTTCTTGGCTTTGCCCTGAGCAGCCACAGCTTCCATGGCCTTCTTGACAGTCTCCTCATCCCCCAGGAACTGCATGGGTCCTAAAGGCTTCAGGTTCTTGTCCAGCTCGTACACAATGGGGATACCTGTTGGCAGGTTCAGCTCCATGATGGCCTCCTCGGACATACCTTGTACAAAAGTAACAGATATTCAGAGTTTAGGGTTTATTTGCATTGAAATGCTTTTAAAAATCTCATCAGACTTAGACATAACAGTTTTATTTCAAGTAGTTTATCAGGTTCACATGAGCTGAGGTCAGCAAAGTATTCTATTGAATTACCTTGACACAGAGATGACGGTTTATATATACAGTCTATGGTATAAACGTATGGCACTGGGAAGTGGCTTAAAAGTATCTGCTCTGTCTCTTACCCTCAAGGTGCTTGACGATGCCTCGGAGACTGTTGCCATGGGCAGCAATCAGCACCCTCTTTCCTTCTTTGATCTGAGGAACGATCTCTTCGTTCCAGAAAGGCAGAGCCCTGGCGATGGTGTCCTTGAGACTCTCACAGCTGGGAAGCTGGTCCTCTGTCAGGTCGGAGTAACGGCGGTCCTACAACAGAAGAAGAACGTTGTCAATTGTGTTGCCTTACACTGACGTGATAAAGATATCTGCATGTAAGACAGAACATGTTTTCCAGTGCTCCCACCTTGCTTATGGACTGATAGAAGTCATGCCCCTCATCCATGCATGGAGGAGGAATATCAAAGGAGCGCCTCCAGATCTTGACCTGCGCCTCTCCGTGTATGGCTGCTGTTTCAGCCTTGTTCAGACCTGTCAGGCCACCGTAGTGGCGCTCATTCAGGCGCCAGGTCCGGTGGACGGGCAGCCACATCTGATCGATGCTGTCCAGAACAAACCACAGGGTGCGGATGGCCCTCTTAAGGACAGAGGTGTAGCAGATATCAAATTCATAGCCGGCGTCTGAAGTGATCAGAGACAAGACGTGAAAAGAGAGAGGTTTCATTCAAGTGTAAGAGCAGGGCAGCAGACACATAAAATGTGTCTTTTAACAAAAAGGAAACATCAGCATTGTTTATTGCTTCTCTCGCAACATGTTTTGCTTTTGCTTAGTCAGGGGCAGGGCTACACCAGGGGACACTGGCAGGCTGGGGGCACTGCAGGACGGGCCTGCAGAGGATCTTTGGGTCACAAGAAATGGAATACATTAAATAAAACACTGTGAAGCTCAGTGTATGGCAACATTTCACTCAGCCAACAGCAGTAATCTATACTGATAACTAGGCTCCTTTTTGCAGTCTGGCCCCATGTTTCTTAGTGACAGATCTGAAGCAATAATCATGATGTCATCAGATGACCGCACAATCATTATAATCAGTATACATTATTTATCCCTGGGGAAAATTAGATAAAATAACAATAAAAATGAAGTGAATCTGCTGGCTTGCTCACTTTTTCCTAATCCAAATGATGTGTACGTGCTGTAGCTACATTTGAAAATGTAACTACATTCCAGTTAAATCTTTTTGGATATTTCTTAATAGATGGATGGCATGGCACCATGACTTCCCCATTTACTTACTTTATAAATTCACCACACAATTGATATTATGCAATTCCTAAAATATATTGCAAGTGTCTGGACACGAAGAACATAAAGACTCAGAAAGTGAGTGCCAGAATCAATGTATGATCAAGCCATTTTGCAATTGCAGCGTATACATTCTCCAGTTTGTTATAACTTCATGCAGCTTAATAAACACAGATGATTGGTCACTGCTGGCTCGTCCTTTGTCGCAGTGGGCCCTTCTACCTGTTGTCTCCCTATTCAGCAGAGTTGCATAAGAAGCCCTGTCTTAATCCAATGACCGAGAGAAAAAGCCCGATTAGGCCGTGTGTCATTGATCATCTGGTACCTTTCAGGGCCTGCCCTCCTCTCTTTGCCTCGTGTTCTCCGGTGTCACTCAGGTCCGCGTCGAACCAGCCGCAGAATCGGTTCTCCTGGTTCCAGCAGCTCTCTCCATGGCGGATCAGCACCAGCTTGTAGGCAGCCATCCTCACACCGATGCCCTCTGCGCTGTATTTCCGGGAAAAGTGACTCTGGTTAAAATGGGTCAGCAACGCCGGCAGATGTGTCCTGATTTCGCTGCAGCACACAAGACGGGGACAAAGAAGCGAGCGCAGTATTTTTGTGGTTCTGTTGGCACTTTGTGTAAGGAGTTGGCTGATCTGTCCGAACTTGACAGATCTCACGACACGAGCTCTCTTCCTGTCGGTTTCCACCAATCAGAGGACGAGCTGTGTCTGCCGGAGGAGGAGGAGGATGCGAACAGAGGCACGTCCACACGTCCACACGCCCAGCACTGCATCCTGGAGGCCTGGAAAACTGCCTTTTGTGGTAGTATCAGATATTTTATAGTAGGCTAATAATAAAGTACAGTGTAAAAGTAGTTTGTTTGAAGTAACTGCCTTGTATTCAAAATCTAACCACCGACATAGGATTTGTGTAGATCAAGAAATTAAAGTAGCCTACCAATTATGCAAAATTGCCCAATTTAAAAAATAATAACAGTGGATGATAATTAGTGATGTGACATTGGTTTTTCACTTTAATGTTACTGTTGCCAATTTGTAGTGGGTGAAGCAATGTTTCATTACTTTATAGCCTACAGCATATACTGTAGGTTAAACAATAATTATACATATTCATTTATTAGTTGACTTATATTTATAGCCCCAAACATTGACAAACACAAACAAACAGCTTTGAAAAGTATGTGTTTGAATGTGGTGTCGTTTAACGGTATAAGGCAGAGACATCAAAGAGTATTTATTCTTAATTTGCAGTTTGCTCACAAGGATTTATGAGGACATCATGAACTTGTGAGATGGACTTCCCCAACTATGACAAACACTGACTGATTTACACATTTTCTTTCCAAAGCAAGTCATGTGGTTTAAACATCCTTCAACAACCCTTACTTCAAATCAGAATCAAAGTGCCAACTGAGTATGACACTGCATTTAAAGATCTTTTGATATTAACATTGGTGACATTGGACATTTCAATTGGGGCAATTTAAGTTTGCCAACTAAATGTACATTTGTCATGTGTTTCTCATTGGAAAGCTGCTCTTGAACATAGTATTTAATTGTCCAGGGACACACACATAATATAATTAAACACTTAATGAGATGAATGAGTTTCTTCAAAGAAAGAACGTTTTAAATGACATAAGGCCAACATAGTTTGTCAATATTTATCGGTTTAAAAATGGCTAACAAAACAGTTATTCTTCAACACTGTAAAAGTCAGGGGTGATTCATTTGTCACTAAATGCTTTTTTATTTTTATTGAGGTAACTGATTGAATTAAGTGTGTTCTCACGTGCCTTCCGTGGGTTGAATGATTGTGACGAATCAGCGGAAGAGATTAGGTTGTTGACAGGACCTTTTAAACGCTGATTGGTTAAAAATCAAAATACTCAACAGGTCCCGCCTCTCCCCGGAAGCTGACAGTCACCTGACTTTTCTTTTTTCTCCGTGTTTCCTTGTTAGCCAGCTTCAGTATTAGCCAACAAAACAACGGCCACACTGACTTATTCCATTTCGTCATAGTTTCTCTTTCTTGTCCTTCTCCAGGAGTTAAAACTTCTCATTTACCTCCAACATTATGGACGAGACGAGTCCGCTCGTCTCTCCGCTCCGGGACTCGGGTGATTTCAGCTACTGTCCCACAGAGCCCACCAGCCCCCGGGGCGCGTTTGGAAGCACCCCGGGCTCGGTCGTCCGTATCCCGGCAGGCAGTCCGGGGCGCAGCCGGGAGAGACAGCCGCTCCTGGACCGGGGCAGCTCGCCGCGGGAGCCGCACAGGAACGAGTTCCCGGAGGATCCCGAGTTCAGAGACATCATCCGAAAGGCCGAGCGAGCCATTGAGGAGGGCATCTACCCGG